AGGGAGCGGAACTGCAGGAGGGGTAGGGACCGCAATTATTGAGGGACAAGGGGTGTCAAGTTGGGCCAGTAGTCCCAAATACTCAAGATCTACAAAATTTCATAACTTCTCAAGATCTACAAAGTTTATTTTGGTCATTTGTTCATCCGACATAGTGGTAGTAACATTGTTCACAAATCTACTTTTATGAAACTTATATGAGAGATATAAGAGAGATGTAGATTTTATAAACAACGTTATTGTCGCTTTGTCAAGGAAAGAAATGGCCAAAATAAACTTTGTAGATCTTGAGAAGTTATACAACTTTGTAGTTGAAAAGTTTTTCATTTCAATTCATTTAGGGCCTCAAAAATTGCTTCGAAAAAATGATTTGCCGAGGGCCAAAAAAATGCACACGGCAAAATGCCTCTTTGCCGAGTGCCAGAAAAAAGGCACTTGGCAAAGACGCATTTTGCCGAGTACCAAAAAATGGCACTCGGCAAAATACAACTTTGCCGAGTGTCAGAAAAAAGGCACTCGGTAAAGACGCATTTTGCCGAGTGCCAAAAATAGCACTCGGCAAAATACATCTTTGCCGAGTGCCAGAAAAAAGGCACTCGGCAAAGACGCATTTTGTCGGGTGCCAAAAAATGGTACTCGGCAAAATACATCTTTGTCGAGTGCCGAAAAAAAACACTCGACAAAGTCATCTTTGTCGAGTATTTTTTTTTGCCGAGTGTATTTTATTTGGCACTCGGCAAAGACCGTCTTTGCCGAGTGCCCGATAAAATACACTCGGCAAAGCCTCCGACACTCGGCAAAGCTTGAGATTATAGTAGTGCGTGCGTCCCTCCTCTATTTATTTTCTCCTTTTATTTTATTTTTATTTTTTTAGTTTTTTGACGGAGTAACATATCTGTTTTACAAGATCGTATATGTACTCATGTACTATTTGTAGACGTCTAACACGATTCAATTCCAATCTAGCGTACGACCACTCATTATTTTACTTTTAACTAAGTAGTTTGTTTTTTATTTTTGTTATTTACCTTTTCAATTTCCTACATTTCATGAGATATATGTGATGTTCAGGTAGTAGAACAATTTTCTCCGGAGAATTGCTGCATCGAAGTTTTAGATGAAAAATCGCTCGATTCACTACTAAAATGGTGGAATTCTCCTAGTGATTTTAAGTAGTAATAAAACACTACCATCGGTCATAGCACATAAAAATCTCACTAGGAGGCATTTAGTAGAGAAAATTTATACTAAATTTTAAATACCAAAATATTAGGAGAACTCTACCTCACTAGGAGAACTTTAATATTCTGGTTGTGATTCTAAAGCTATGTTTCTCTTGCAGTATACCTAGAGCTTTATTTATTACTCCTAGCTGGTATATTTCTCTAGCACTATAACGTTACATTTTAAAGCTAGCATATTTCTGTTTTTTGGGAGAAAAACTAGTATACTTCTCTAAAGTACATAGTTTTTTTTGACTATGCTAACGCCCGGACATGCAGCGCGCGTGACGCGTGCGGACGCCCACGGCTACTGCCCGCCCTTTCGGTTTTGTCCCATCAATCAATTCGGCAGTCATTGGTCTCTCCAACTGCCGGGCCTTGTTTAGATTACATCAAAATTCCAAGTTTTTTCACTCTTTCTCTGTCACATTAATTTTTGAATGTATATATGGAACATTAAATATAGGTAGAAAAGTAACTAATTATACAGTTTGGTTGTAAATCACAAGACGAATCTTTTGAGCCTAGTTAGTTCATGATTGAACAAAATTTGTCAAATACAAATGAAACGTGCTACAGTGTCCAGATTGCAAAAATTTGCAATGGCAAGGCTCTTTCGCTCCGACCACTCGTATGCATGGCTGCATGCAGCTCCTGCCTGCCCACCCGCATGCTGTTGTTGCGCCTGGCTGCGCACTGCTACCGCACCTGCCCGTGTGCTGCTGCTGTTGTTGTAGCAGTGCGCTACTGTTGCTATGGTACGCATGCGCCTGCTGCTGTCGTGTCCACTTCGCTTCCCACGTACACGGGTACTGCTGTGCCCATGGGACCACCTTTGTCTGCGCCCACTTCCTGCGCCGGCTCATAGAACACTTGCAACGTAAAGTATTTGTTACAATATACGTCTGAAACAGATAAAATATTTAGAACATACTCTTGCAACATATGTGTATGGCCACTACAACATATGCAACATCCAGATAAAATAGTTGCAACATAAATTTAAAACAGCTGAAACATTTGAAATATACACTTGCTATATACTTGTATAGCCAGTGCAACGTATAAAACATCCAAATAAAAACACTTGCAACATACATTTGAAAACAGCTGAAACATTTAAAACATAAACTTGCAACATACGTGTATAGCAATTGCAATATATGTAACATCTAGATCTACTTTTACAACATATATCTAAAACATTTGACATACTCCTATATGTGGCTCTAACGTATCAACGCCCATACAAATATTTTATATGTGGCTCTAACATATCAGGGCCATACAAAAATTGTTGGTATTTATATTGATCATGCTAAGTTGACTCGCAATATGATCAGACTCACGTATATTTGTGGTCTATAATTATTTTTGGACCAAAGGTATTTTTGTGCACATGCATACAAGTATAGACGGCTGCCATACGTTGCTCTGGCTGGTCATTTTGCGCAGCTCTCCATTCATGTCGATTATGTTCTCTTCTGGTATACATGCATGTCATGTATTCACGCTCTGCTGAGGCTGCCATACATACGCGTACATACATATATTTGTGTTACGTTGGCGAGTTACGCGTATGGATTAAAATATAACTAGCCCATTTTTTTATTAAAAAACGGCGCGAGTGGGGCGCCGGTTGGGCCGCCCGCTTGTTTCAATAAAAAAACGCGGGGCGTGCGGCGTCCAATCATTTCCGTAGTTTTTTTTAGCAATGCTAGAGTAATATTTTTTTAACAGTTATCTTCGGCATTGGGCACTGGGCTTTAAGATGATATGGGCCGGGCCAATTCAGTTCCAGCTAGGCCACATGGAGTTGGGGTAGCACACTGCTGTGGAATGGAAGCTTGTCACACGAATCATGTCCAACCCACACAGACGTTGGGCCCCAATCATTTCCAACCTGAAGCTTAGCCCAACAGGCCTTTCAATCGTGCTATGCGTTTGGCCCATGAAGAAGCATCCATCCAGTCTCCAGGAGTGCAGGCTCCATGCACATGCACCTGCAGGCTGAAGACTACACAAGCACGCAAAGAGAACTTTATGCACGCATATTCCAATCGGGCGCTAAAACTGAATTTTGAGCAGTTCACGCTTCAAGTACTTCAGAGTCGACCCTTCCATGTCCAAGTTACAGCAGGTCGCCGCTGCAGGATGCAACATCATTATTTTTGCAGGACGTTGCAAATATGTTGAGCCTCCACTCTACGCTCAGCAAGGTCATCATTAAGAAATCAGGTTCCTCCAACAAATGGATCGGGGCATGTATTCCATTATCTAATATAAGAACAAAAAAAACCTAATGGAGAACGAGTGCCAATTCAAAAGACTAGAGGTCACCATCCATTCGCTACGCCAGATTAATGCGTCACTATCAACCTGATAGTGGCCGAAAATATGTGTTTCCAAGATTCAAACTCAGTATCTCAACGTTCTATCAAGCATCCATTCTATCTGAGTTATACAACACTTACCACACTGTACAACCGAAACTATTTTTGACTGCACATTTACGGACCTTATGTTGTAAATTTAACACTTTCAACGATCTCAAATATGAAAAATTTGTTAACTGCAAAGTTATAGATCTCGTTGGGTACTCCAACTTTGATGTTGACTTTGTCTCCATTCGACATTGTCGACTATCTCAAATCTAATTCGAGAACTTATATTGAATATTTGGATATAAACCATCTCAAATTAATAAGTTGTTAACTATAAAGTTTTAGATCTCTTTGAACTGAACAATCTTGATCCCACCTCATAGTAAAAAGTAATGTATTTTTTATGCAAAGCAGCCTATCACTATTAGTTGTAGTCCTGAACCAGCAACAAAAGTTCATCTGTCACTACTTGTACTAGCACTAGCTATTGAAACCACAAACCGACCAGTTCCAAAGCAACCAGCAATGATAGTCCGCAGTGCATACCTTTCATTTGGCTATGGTAGTGATCCCGAGCGTGCTTCCGGCTCAAAAGTCAGAACACGTGTGTGTTCTTCTGATGGTTCAAAACCTTTTGATACTCTGTGTTCCTTTTCCACTGACCGAAGTTTATGCTTTGGCCCCAAGTCCCCAACAAATGCTGGAGAAGCCTCCTTCAGTTTTGTCATCTTGAATGCAAATTTACAAAGAAGCTTCCTCACAAAAAAATAAAACCCAAAAGGCTATATTTTCAAGCCGATCGACCGTTAAGATGACAAGTGGCCATGGCAGGGGCGCCTGCTGGCCCTACTCCAACCGGAGCCGTGCGGGGTGGGAAGGGCGGCCTGACGAGCGGCGCATTGGGAAGTGCGGGGAGCGGGACTGTGGGAGGGGTAGGGACCGTAATTATTGAGGGGCATGGGGTGTCAAGTTGGCCCAGTAGTCCTAAATAGCCACCCCTCAAGGGACTACAACCAAAACTCACTTTAGTCCCTCTAGTAGTCCCCTGTTTGGCAAATTTGGGACTATTTAGGAGTAAACTGGGAGAACTAGTCTCTAGTCCCATCTAACCAAACAGGGCCAAACCAACAAAAAGTTTTTGGATGACCTTTATCAAACACCACGGCACTCCTTGTAATCGAAATTGCCTAGCAAAGGGTAGCGGTCCATGTCAAATTAAACATAATTATGTTTGTGACCTCCAACTTTGACCAATTATGAAAAAGATGGTTTGTATTCCTGGGTGGTTTGATGCCAGACCAAACAAACACAGCATGTCTGAGGAAACGGGTATAATAACGACAATTAAAAAACAAATGTCAGATAGTTTTAGATTTGCTACAAATGACCATCCTCAACTGAAGCGGCTATATATGTGTTGCACTGGTGGGTTCATTGAGACCCGTCTGCTGCTGCTTTTCCTTGAGGACATGCTCCCTGAGCCCTGGGATGTGAATGTTGGTGATATATAGTCCATCCAGTCGACGCTCCTCATGTCGAAGTGGAACCTCGCTCTCTCCTGCGCCGACATCTCCGCGAAGAGCACCTCCGTGTTGGCGCTGTCAAACCTGCCCTGGCAGAAGGTGTACGGCTCGTAGATGCCGCTGAGGTGGATGATCTGCTCCTCCAAGGCCTTGGCACGGAGACGACTGCGCGCTCGCCGCGATGACATGCCCTCGGTGCTTCCTTCTCGCAGCAGGGTGTGGGACTGCACGTACCTGACGAACTCCTCCATGCTGCCGAGGGTGGACGCCGGCTGCACTAGGATGGCCCGCCCTGCTATGTCGAGGAGGGGCGACTTGGAGAAGTGCTGGTACGTGAATCGCAGCTGATCGCCGATTAACATTGGGTTCACCGTTGACGACGTCACATGGTACACATGGGCCCCTGACACCGTAGCCGTCCCACCACCATGCTTCGCCATCGCCGCTATCATTGTGTTTACCACCATGTCGACAGGAACCTTAACAAGACGATATATAAAATTAAGAAGATTGCCATCTCATTACTTTTTTTATGGTAAACGGGTGAGGGGGCAGGGAGGTGGTAGGACGGAGAGTTCCCCACCAATTCATTACCTCAGAGAGCAATACAAATTGCAGCTCAAAAGATTAGCAGTACAAGCAAGGTTTTAGGGAAATTAGCCACCATCTCATTACTGGGAAGGATGAAATGCATATTGCAAGAAAAAACTGCATTGTCTTTGAAGATACTTGTATGTCTAAAGTTCAGGGGTTGCCTTATTACAAGAAATCCAAACCGGTGTTTTGTAAATCTGTATATGCACTGGTTAGTTATTCACTCGTCCAAGCCATCCTCCTGCATGGGCTACAATATATCGTATTGGAGTATATATGCACGAAGTTATTTGCTGTGTCTATTCTTTCATTTTCTTAATGAGGTAAAAATCATATATAATTCAATACTTTCAACTTTCTATGGGTGATGATGGACTTATCAATTATTTTACATGCCCATCTTTGTCTGTCGATGTTTTTTTTTTGAGCCACTCTTTTTCTGTCTATTGAACAGCACGTTTGTGCATGTATTGGGCAACAGATTTTTTTGTTAGAAGTAGGTGCTCTGGACCTCCTCTATGTGCCCTCAAAGGTGCAACTAAAGATTTGAGTTGTGTATTGATGATGTTTTTGGTGTTTGGTTTGATCACCGGTGGTTGTCTAAATCGTGTGATCATTGAGCCCTAGATTTTACGGCAAGGCATGTGCAATGCAACCACTGGTTTGCAGTTGATGTCGCTCTCAACATGCCAATGACTTAAAACCCTTCAATCTTTAAACAACTTTATTTTCTGATGAGATAGATGCAGAGAACACACATGCATTACTATCGCCAAGCTACATTGAGGAGCCCAAATTTTCTTGTCATGGCTTTGTGGTAGGTTTGGCCACTGTAACCTAGTGTTCCTAACGAGTTTATCGCCAGCTTTACTCTCTCTCTCTCTCTCTCTCTCACTCACTCACTCACTCTGAGTTCAGTAATCGATTTCTCTGTCACAATCTGTTGTTTCAGCATTTCCATCATAGCTAGGTTGCTGACATGTCTTTTTGGTAAGGTTTTTTCCAAATATTTATACCATGTTATCTGTTGTAATATATGAGTCCTTATTAAAAGATCTTGGCAAGCAGCTTCTTACCACATCGAAAATGCAGTATGGATCACGAGGAAGCAGCTCATCTTGCCTTTGCCATAGTACAGGATATTGGGATCCATCATCCTGATTTCATTTTCATTGATCTCTCATGAAATCAAGCAGGAGCATGATCATCAAATACATATATAGAAGTAAATACTTGCATCACATTAATAACTATCTTGGAGACTAACCTATTTCCTTGTATCCAACCTGCTGGGAAGGGGGTCCTTGAGGGTGCTCTCGATGATACTTGGCCTCATCGTCACCACTGGTATGTCTCCTCGCAAGGCATTGATGACCATCTCCCCCATAGCCTTGGTGAACGCATAAGTATCTTGCCAGCCATGGAGTTTTGCCCTAGCATGCAGCGATGACAAACAGGCAGAGATTGCAAACGAATTCTACTTCGGTTGACCAAATAAATGTAGCTGTAATAATGACATAAGCATCGTAGATACAATATGTACCTCTGTATGCCTAAATATTTCATTTCTTTATGAAATACACTGTTTGGCAACAAACATGGCATGTAGTCAAGAGCCAAGTGTGCTGTGTGATTTATGTTTTGAAAATATAATACATGCCTACCAATATGATGAGCATGTTTCATTACAGAACAATCTTTAGTATGACACCCTTACCTGTTGACACATGCAAGAACAGCTTTAACCTTTTGAACCGGTGTGCGAAACTTATCATCCAAAGAGGCCCCAAGGTGTTCGTGTCAATTGCAACATTGTAACTATGATCAGGAGTTCAGCACTTTAGTGGTTAGGGGGTGACAAACCTTCAATTTTTTGTTTCCGTCTATATATATTATCGTGTATATAGCAATACGAACCTCTCATCGAAAGTGGTATTTGCCGCCATGTTCACAATAATATCCACTTCCTCAGCGATCTCACTGGCAATCTCCTTGGCAATTCCGACACCGAACTCCCTCACATTGCCGACCACAGGAACCAACTTACTTGCAACAAAGGTATGATAGTCTTCCCCCTGGATTTCTTGTAAACATTTGAACAGTTCTGTGTCTACCACCTGCACATGGCCTTAGAGTTTTTCAAATTTTACAATTTCGATAAATATTACTCCCTCCATCCTGAAATATATGCAAGGTATCTACATAATTTTACGACCAAATAAAGAGTATGACAAAGGACTAACTTGCCCCTCACTAGTTAGTTAGTTCTATTGTCAAGTTGCTTAATTTTGTAGTAAGACATAGTTTAAAAAGGGAAGAATGAATGTCATTGATATCAGCTAGGGCAATATGTTGTTTAAAAGGCATGTATGGATAAGGTTGTGCAATCCATAATATGTTTTAGTTAGAGATAAATTTTAAACCTTTGATAATATGTTGTATTTTGGGACGGGGGGAGCATTACAAAATGGACCTGAAACATTGTGTAACATCACCATAATGCCAAGGACAACAATAGCTTGGCGTGACATTAAAATACGCTAAGATATACTCCATAAGTTCCAAATTATAAGTCGCTTTGACATTTTTGGTACATCTATTTTGCTATGCATCTAGATATAATAATATGTCTAGATACATAGCAAAATGGATGAAAACCAAAAAGGTCAAACCGATTTATAATTTGAAACAGAGGGAGTACCTAGTAGGATAAGACATTCATAGTCAACGCACTTGATGTGTGGTTGTAACGTCGCCAAACAAAATAACGCGAAAATAGGAAATATAACTTACTTGACGCTGACTTCCGAAGCTTAGAATGTTATACTTTGGCACGAGGATGGCTTCCATAACAACCCTCCTTTGTGGGTCACTCGCCCCGAGTTGTGTCCTCAACGTTTTCTGATGACACCAAGCAGCTTTGGGTTCTTGTTTAGAAATATTTTCATAAAAAGTCTATACGGAAAAATTATGGAAATGGCTAAATAAAAAAATCAACCACTTGTCCACATGTCACGTAGATAACTGCTGTCATCTACTACATCATATACGTTGCTAGGAAATGTTCATGGGTGTAGAAGCATGACACAGTAACACCACAGATGATATATACCTCATGTTGCAACCTCTTGAGAGCAGCTTCAGTGTCCTTGGCCTTCACCACTACGTATATCTTACCGATGTCAGGATTCGTCCTCAAAATCTTCTCTATAAGAACTGATCAATGAGAAAGAATTAATAGGAATGAAAAACAATAAGACGAATGTGGAAAAACACCCTATCTTGTCACCTTTTGCAAGGAACCCAGTTCCACCTATGACTAGAATGTTCTTTCCCCGATAGAACTCTGCGATCCCAATCCCCTTGGTGTTATCCATTGCCGCCGATGGTGCACGAGCTCACACTGCCGTCGGGATGCTTGATGGCCACCGCCCACCGCTGGAAATACACGACGACACACTACCATTTCCATGACTGGAGGCGACGATGACAGCACGGCCGGGGAGGTTCGAAAATGGAGCCAGAAGAGAGGTATGGTGCTGGCAAGGTGCAATGGAAGACAAGCTTGCCATGGACGAACTACCTCACCAGCTACTCCAGTACCGTTATCTGAAAATGGAGGACAAATTAAGAGAAAAGTATGTCTCACCAGAAACTTATTGCGCAGTATGACCAGAGATTGATAATGTGCTGCAGGAGAAGGTAGTTGGCAGAATGGCAGATGGGACGGATCAACGCTAAAACTTTGTGATTAACTCGTGCGTCGTGGTCAAGGAATAATTGGCAGTACGGGCCTGATGGAGACGGCAATAAACTCTATGCAAGGACGAGTGCGTGGAATGGTCTCGTTCCGTCAATGGAGTTCCCAGTTTTCTGAGAAGGTCCGACAAAATTTAGTACTGTTCGAAACCTGTGGTAGGATTAACTGATGTTTTGAACAAAAAAAAACGCCATTATTACATGTATTTCAAAAACCCTAGAAACGGAACTGTAAACAATGAAATTAAATAGTCATCTCAGAAGGACACACTACAGGAAACTGGCTCTTTGCCGACTGCAATTTTCTTTGCCAACTGTTTTTTTTCGACACTCGGCAAAGAGGTCCCTTTGCCAACTGGAATTTCCTGCAGTCGGCAAAGCAGGATTTGCCGACTGCCTGACTTTGCCGACTGCCAGGCAGTTGGCAAAGCCATGGATTTGCCGACTGCCAGGCAGTTGGCAAAGAATTGCAGTCGGCAAAGGCAGGCCATGGTTGACGCCATCCACACCGTCACCTTTGCCGATCGCCACTCCGTCGCCAATCGGCAAAAGCGCGAGGCTTTGCCAATCGCCATCCTCCCAGGCGGTCGGCAAAAGATTTTATTTTTTTTATTTCGATCCCGTTTTTGTGTTGCCTTGATACAGTAAGTACATGATATATTCCAAGTTTGGGGTCATTTTGATTTATTTTGCTATATTCCCTTGATTTTTTCTGCTTTCTTTGATTTTTTCCAATGACTCCAGTTTGAACTGCAGGTACATGAAATAATGGAATCCGCCCATTCGTAAAATGATATTCATGATGTTTGGAGCATGTTGAGGCCGTGTCGCGGGCCTCGCGTGAAATTTCGACCGTGTTGGTGTCGGAACACGCCGAGCCACCTGCTGCGTGAAAAGTGTTTTTAAATTTTATAAAATCGAACGCGAGTCCGAAAATGACGAAACTTGACGACGTGTCTTGTCATCGCATCGGAGGCTGTGGTAAAAATTTGAGAAAGTTTCGAGCAAGTGGCGACGTCGGGTGGCTAAAACCCGGCGCGTCGCCCTCCCGTGCACGCCCCCCCTCCCCGTGTGCCCCCCTCCCAGT